CCCAGACGAATTTGATACCAATTTACCGTTGCTGAATGGTAGATGGCTCGACTGGCGCGGACGCCCCTCCGGGATTTCACCCTACACCGCGCGCGTGATAAGCGTGCCGCTTGCCACTAACCACCCCGCCTCCACACTAATTTCAACTACCATGAAAACCCAAACTTTCCCTGAACATATCTACAGAAGATGTGGCAAAAAAGACTTCTGGCACATGGCGAGCCCTATCAAAGTTCACGACGCATCGGGCGACGAGGCCACAAACGATCCAAGAAAGAAATAGCCCTCTACCATTGCTTTGACCGATCCCAACAAGATAAAGCCATGATCGCCGACGAACCTCAGCTAGAAGATTCCAGGGTTGGGATACCGCAGGTATCTGAACTGGTCGCTTTGGTACAGAAAGGACACCATCCGGCACTAGTAACCCTCAAAAAAGGGAGATATTCAAAGAATTCCCAGCGCAAAAGCAGAATCACCGTAAAGGGGACGAGGACTTTCACCTAAACCCAAAAGGAGAAGTAGCTTCACGGTGATAATACAGTACACGAACACACATACGGTAATTTGATTCGGATGGTGGTAATACCAGTTCAGCAGGATTTCTTTCGATGCCTACCAAGGTTGCTAGCGCCGGTCATCCAGCTGTTTTGAACGGTCGTTTCTGCTCACGATTTCCAATGGCTCAGCGGACAATGGGATCCGAAGTACGTGGGATAGGATGCGTACTACATCTAGCATCAATTAAGAAAACTTCATGCATAACACCGATAGGGCAGCTACTAGCATTTTGTACCACTTAGAATAATTTTCACTGCCTTGGTGATCGTGAACCGTACTATGAGGTGGAGATCATATGGGAGCAGGGCACATAATGCCATGGGTGGAAACTACAAAATACGACCCCTCCCTCAAGATTTCCTCGTCTGGCACCCCCCCCCCCATATTCTACCCTGCCTACTATCTCACTGAGTTCTGCCCAATGTTCTACCGAACTTACGGAGGAATTCTCCAGCATTGCTTCAAACAACTACGCGGGAGGAAAGGGGGAGGGGGTAGGTATAAAGCGCCAGTGAAACGGGAATACCAAGAAAAGTCAGCAACCGAAAAAAAATCCTCTCAAAAACAAATACGACGGCCCTCCCCACCAAATACCTGACCCTGCTGTTGGGGATTGTAACGCAAGACGTGCTCTGTATGGAATCTATGCACCGTAAAAAAGAGAAAATAATAAGAATTCCACGAGAAAAGGAAGTTATCCGATACTATCAAAAAGGAATGGGAGAAATGAAAAATAAAACGGGCAATTGAAAAAAAACTGGAAATAAGAAATAACACAGAAGAGGTGAACTCACTGTTATTGAAAAGCACTGTCGGATGCAAATGTGATAAGCAGTTGAGCACATCGATAGCAGCCAATGATACCGAATGTTTTTCGGGGGCCGGCATTCAGGTCTCATATGCCGACTCGCATAATTGCGGACCAAGCCCTCGTTATGAACGAAACACACAAAGTCCTTAATTAAACAGGAATGAGGAAGGCACAGCAACAACAGAAACGTGAGAAATGTGGGCTAAAAGCTTCCTCCATTCAATTTCTGTGATGAAGAACTGAAAAGAGACACCTCGCAGGGACAGCCAATCTTCCTCATTGGTACGCCCTAGTTCTAAGGCAATAAACAATGTGAGAGTCAGGACCGATCCCGCCCACACGGTTAGCGTGGAACAACACCACGATCAAGTTTTGAAATATCAGAGAATGAATACGCTCCAGTACAGCTCAACAGCTAAGGCTACAAAACACCACAAAGTGGGGATGCGAAGGAGAACCTTTTTCCGGCGTTTGGTTCGTATGTTGCTGAGAAGCCATTCGAACCATTTCACGTGTTTGTTCTTCATTTAGTCCTAGATCGAACGAACAGCTCTCTTCCATAAGTACCGTACACATTGCTAAAGAATAGCGCATTGAAAGTAGGAAAAAGAACCAAAGCTATGGATTACTTGCATTTAGAATGACACGCAATGAAAGACATTAACTGAAAAACAGCTTCGAAACAGGAATTACCCAGCGTTAAATGAAGATTAATTGGATCGGTTTCATTTCGCAAACTGAAGACTAGAGTTTTATAAACCCTGGAACGTAGCTGAAGATAGGTAGTCGCTGACGATTTTAGATTTGCGCTTTCAGAAAGCTCTGAAATGATAACAATCATAATATTTCATTTTAAATTCAAGTGTACAATAACTAACGAGGAATTTTACTCATTCCAAAAGTGGTGGGCCAGCAAACCACTGAGGACAGTCCACGAAGACATGCTCTACGCATTTCTACTTCAGGAATCGATGGATGGAGTCTGAAAAATGAATGAAAGAGATGCGAAAGCAATAAATACAGCAGATTTTGTGGAACTCAATCGGAATCTCACCTAATCTTGGCACTTTCAATCAGTATTATATCCAAAGCAAATAAATAATGAGGTAAAATTGCCTCAACACCAGGTAGGCCTAACCGAAACAAATTCTGCCCATAAAAGAACAACGAGCATAAGACCAGTCGATCTTTCTGAAAAGAGAAGTATAATATGGCGCACATTCTGCTGGGGAGGATGGGTGGGGGGGGGGGTGGATCGACAGGACAATCGTAATTTGTGGCGGCGCCGCGCGCGACGTGTCTTGCGGCCACGCGCGACCGATGCCCAATGCGCGTCAGTTTGTAGACACACAACATGTTCAAATAATTAAAAAAAGAGAAAAGAAAATAAAAGTAAATACCGCAAACACACCTCAATCAACGCCTCGTGCACAGTCGACAAGAACCTCGCCAACTGCTGATTAGGAAGCTTCTCATTAGTCCGTTTCGAGCAGATAATTCTTGAGAGCGCTGCGATTGCTGCTGATCGACCTGCTGAGACGCCATCCATGCCATCGCTAACACCACCGGGGAACGCACTGCCCCCCGGTTCTCCAGCTTTTAAGGACTCTCCGGTTGTTGACGAGGTTGAACTAGCTGGAACAACACATTTAATAAGATCAGGATCAAGGGCAACTAACTGGAGGGTAGAACTAGAGAAATTTCTGATAAAATCCACCGCATAGACCAGTGAGAAATACTCTTCGTCTATGTAGTAGCCCTGATTTTTCGCACATGTCCGTCAAGCCGACGCGCCAGGGATCTCCCCACGCTTGACGTTCAACTTGACTTGTAAGATCAAGCTATGAAGAAGTAATCATCAACCATGACGACGTTCTCAAAAAGCTGGACGGCTGATGTGTTCTACAATCAGAGAG